AATAAATAACATGCTAATTTAAAGTTTAAATTATTATATTTAAGAGCGAGTAATATTTTCAACGTCAGGCTGTAGTTTAACCTAAAAACAATAATAAACAGATAGAAACGCCCATACTTTTCTACACGGTTGCAGAGAATCTGTTAAGAATTAATTCAACTCAAAACCTTAAGGTGTTAGGTGATGGTTTTTTTAAGGCTTTTATTTTATTCTCTAACACACCCCCTCTCGCCAGAGCCCTTTGGCCTTGAAGCGTGGATATGGCACAAGCCCAATTTTGGTCTGTGCTGCACAAACCTATTTTTTTAGTCTATTTTGTGCTTTTCTTAATTTCACCTGAAAGTGGGAGGTGATAAGAATCAAACTTGTGACTTTATGATCACTGAAACTCTGATATCATATTCAACCCAAAATTTAAGGTTAGGTGATGGCCAGACTTTTATTTTATTCTCTAACAGAATTATTGTTACAACCAAAGAGGTTGGTCCGTGATGCAATTATATTGTTAGTAACTTTCTTTTTTCATTGTTGGGGTTCTTTTAAGGGTCATATGTTGGTACTCGAAAGAGTCAAAACACTGTCTTTTGTTGACTTTTAAGTTCTAATCATGTCTTCTTCTTCTTTTCAAGAAAAAATAATTAAGGATAATTGCTTCATGAACGTTAGGACGCCATTGACATATGCAATGACAGAGAGGTTAGAAGGGGCGATCGCTTCCCTTCAAATTTATCGAACTTTTGTCTTAGACTACATTTAATGTACTATGAATTTGCCCCCCTTCGTTTTTATTATTTTTCATGTACAAAGAAAACTTGAATAGTTCTTCAGATCTGGTTATGTAATGATCAACTACATTGTTATCCAGTTTAAGTTAGTGCGAATTTTACTTTTTTTTATCATTTCTCACAAAATTTTCTGACTCTGTAGAATTCTAAAGGTAGATAGAACCCCAACCATACTTTTACCTTTGAAAATAAGCTAAGCAACTCAATAAACTGGAAAAAAAAAAATTTAAAAATAAGGAAGAGGATCCGTGACTTCTAATTTTCTGATATAGGAACATCATCCTCCCCTTTTTTTTCTTTTTCTCCAACTTTTAGGACTAAAACTGTTAGGGAGATATAAAATAATTAATTTAATTTCACTCAATACTTTAAGGGTTTTGGGTTGTAGCGACGCTTTTTATGGTGTCAGAGCTTCAGTGATCACGAGGTCACGAATTTGATCCTCACCGCTCCCACTTTCAGGTGAAATTAAAAAAAGCACAAAGGACCAAAAAACAGATTTACACAGCACAAGGCACATCAATCAAGCCCAAAGGGTGCAAGAGAAGTTCATAACAAAATAATAATAACAGAAAACTAAACTCTTCTCTCGTGAGAGATACTGAAATTATAATCTGATTATTAAAAAAAATAATAAAAATGTGTTATATTTCTTTTTCTTTTTGAGATATTTTAATTGGTTTATCGTGACTAGTTCGATTTTAGACGGGTTCCGAAATTAAGATTTTAAACTTCTCTCAAAAACGTTATTGGGAAGAGAAAATGTGTTATATTTCTAAAATGTTGGATAATAGTTGTTTATCATTGTTAAGATGCTCATTCGTAATAAAATAGACCGAAAGGTAGAACATATTAATTTTTTAAAAAATTAAATAAATTTACTGTAGAAGTGCATGGCCTGTGATCTAGAGTAGCATGGTTCTTTCAAGCATCCAATTAAAAGCCCTTGTGGCCAACTACTCTACTTTTGCCCAACAAATGGACACCACATAGGCCTGGGACCAAGTGGTTGGCCCATTCAATCATCCTTTCCTTTTTTGTTTTTTGTTTTTAGCTATTAAGGAGCATGCATGCGAATTTGCTACATTTCAATTGTTTCCGTAATTCTGAATTAAAAATAGGTTTGGGTACATAATTCAAACCGGCCTAATGATAATAAATAATCTTTTCTGCTTGATTACTCTGTGTTCTATGGCGTAAGCAATGATCTAATTTCACATCATAACATAGTTAACAAGTATATCAGTGGAATATTGACCAGCCTTTTAGGTGTAACTGAAGTCTGAACTACGATTTTATTTTATTTTATTTTTACTCTCCTTGTCTTGCTTCTAGAGTGTTAGTCAAAGCACTGATGTTAATCTCGTCCTTAATGCGATTAGATTCCTAAATTAAAAACCATTTTTTGGGTACATAATTAAAAACCATTTTTAATCATAAGAAATATTTAAAAAAAGTTCTTAACGTTTATTTACTGTTGACCAACCAATTATCAGTTACCAACGAATATTTTTAGTGTTTAGAAAGAATCACGTGCTTTTGTTAGGTTATTCTTATGAATAATGCTTGGCGAGATGTGCACGAAGCATGACACCTAGCTATTATATTAATATATATTGTGAAAGAAATCTAATCTCTCAGGTCGGGATTATAGTTAGGTAAATTCTTGATCTAAATGGCCACTTCACGATTTGAACTCCTAACATTACACATAAATTAAGTTCATCTGGGATTACCCGTTACTTCATATTAATTTAGTTACTAATTAAGTTAACTACGTTAATTTTTTTTTTCTAATTTAATGTTTATGCTGTAAATATTTTTGGTTTACATATATGGGATGTTCCCTATTGCATTAAGTTTTCAAAATATTTATAAATGTATGGTGTGGGATGGCGAGGGTGGGAAGTTGATATTTTTCTTGAGGCGAATATTTTAGGGTGAGACATAATGGAAAGGATCGGGATGGATAAAACCCAATCTTTATCCTCCCCTATTGATACCATGAGTTTTACAGTGGGCCATTTCACATAGCCTAATCAATCAATGGATTGACTCAAGAAGGTTTGGAGTAAAATATAAGTATGGCTATTAAGCATGACTTATATATTTAAAGAAACAATAATTTAAAATCTAATAGATTATAATCAAATCAAGTCCAGCAATATTTTAGGTTGTAATTTGATAGGCAAAAATAGGGAAACAACAAACTTTTTGTTATTTAAGATCTAAGATTTGATATATGTTTTGAAAGATTTAATTATTTTTATTTTAAATTTTATTTTATTTTTTATTTTAATTTTTTTTTTAAAAATTTATTTTTAAAAGGTAGCTATCATTATATTTATTTTTAGAAATTTTCTTTATTTTTAAAATTTTAATTTGATTTATAATTTATCTATAGAAAGGTGTTTAAGATCTTTATTGTAGAAGTTAAATATTTTATTATTTCGATAATTATAATTGAGATACAGATGATTTCTTCTTATATCAAATCCAATTTTTTTCTAGAGGTAGATCCTTTGACATCGGTGTCAAATTTTAATTTTGACACCTCATCTCAGAGCCGTTAGATAAAAAAAGATCAATGGTGTCACATGCTTGCAAATCAGAGTCATTAATTTTTTTGATCTAACGGTTCTGAGATGATGTGTCAAAATTAAAATTTGATACGGATGTCAAAAGATCCTACCTCTTTTTTCTATTTAGTCACTTTTGTATGCGCATCACATGATGATTTTCGGAATTTTTAACATGGTTTGGGACATTAAGTTCATTCTTTAAATATTTTAAATACATGAATTTATTTATTTTATTTCTTCATGTGCTATTATCAAATGCTTAATTATACTCATCCTCTATTTCTATTCTTTTCTTCTTTTCACCAAACTGTCTGCAATATATTTTTTCTGTTTAATAATATTGAGTATTTATATCAATTTAATTAATTAAGTTTTGACATATATCATTAGAATTGAAAATGGAGTCAGGATATAAATGACTCAATCTCAAGAATTTGTTCAAGAAGGAGAGATTATGTAATCGAAAGATGAAGATTATTCATTACAAAAAAGAAAAAAGAAAAAAAAGGTGAAGGTTATTTGTCATTAGAAACATCTCAAATTTTATAAATCCCATGGTAACGGCTAGCTGTGGATCGAAACAACTCGTTTCAATGCTAAAGATTATGCATATTAATTTATTAGTAGGCAAAAAAGGAACATCGATTAATCCGTAACCACGCAAATTAAAACGGTTCCGTTATTTTTTTATTATTTTTTTTTTTGATAACACCGTTATTTTCATAATACTATGGAAATTCACGAACCACTAGATACAATTACGATATATAAACGTAATTGAATAGGGATTAGCGAGTGGTTTCGTCACGTAATAGGAGTTTGTTTATCTTAGGCCTTATCCAAAACTTATGGACAGGTAACCACGCATAAGAACATGGCTTTATTTCTTGTCATTATAATTTTACATTAAATATGGAGGAAGGATTCTGTTTTTACTTCATCAAGTACGCTAACCTTTTGGCTAAGATAAATCATATATATGATGTATTGAGGACTGACAAAGCATAAGATAAGATAGAATTTGTCTAGTATTAGAGAAACGAAAATGAGATAAACCAGTAGGCTAATATTTTGCTTAGAAAGTAGTTTAAACAAAGAAACTATGAGAAAAATAAAAATGGGGGAAAAAAATCGTATCTTGACGTCAACAAAATGAAAAACTTGACTAACGAGTCTTCAACAATTGTAAGTAAAATGGATGGAAACCCTTTATTTGAGCTCTCGTCTCCTTTTCTCGTCATCGAATGTAAGTTTGTCAATCAAAATTAAAACAACACACCCATCACCATCTCGTGGGGAAAAAAAAAACACGAGTTTCAATGTTATTTTAAAAGAATACAATAAAAGAAGAAGAAAATATAACATAATTGTTATACATTATTGTATGTTATATTTACAAATTTTTTGTTTACAAACTACACTAAATATAACCGGTCATACTTAAATCAAGAGTGTATGACTGGTCATACTTAGTGTAATTTGTAAAAAAAAAATTGTAAATGAATCTTTTTCTTTATTGTATATCTATATTTTTTTTTTTTTTTTTTTTTTATAAATCACAGATTTCCTTTACAAGAGATAATCATATTCGAGCCAAGAACATTCATATCATCATGGTGAAGCTAGCTTGTTCATGGAAGAGTGCAACCAATCTGTTGATGATCCCTTCTGCCCCTCATATCGTTTTGAAAAGGAGATTCACAAAGAAAGCTGCAAACCTTGGAGGATGGCAATTATTGTGAAACTTTTAGGAAAGCGTGTGGGGGTGAAGTTTTTTCAAAATAGGTTGTTGAAGATGTGGAATTTAAGCGGCTCTTATGAGTTCATTGATATGGAGAATGATTATTTTTTATTTCGGTTTGACAAGATTGAGGACTACAATTTTGTTTTGCAAGAGGGTCCTTGGGTTGTAGCTGATCATTATGTAATGGTTCAACGTTGGCGTCCCTTCTTTAACCCTCATGATGATGATTTCAAGAAGCTGGTTGTATGGCTACGTATTCCAGGCCTCCCAATTGAATTTTATACGTCTAGGCACCTATGTAACATAGGTAATCTTTTCGGGAGAACACTCAAGATTGATAGGAATTCAATTCGGAAAGATATCATAGGAGATAAGGAGTTCACAGATCGAGCAAAATTTGCCCGTATTTGTGTGGAAGTTGATCTTCGAAAAGGATTCCTGTCTAAATTCAAAATAGGCAACCGTGTTTTTCCAGTGGGCTATGAAGGTTTGCACCTTGTTTGCTTTGCTTGTGGTAGGTATGGTCACCGCCGTGATTCATGTCCTACCCTTGCTCCTGCTTCGACTAGTACTATTAATCAAAGTACTCAGATTCATACAACAATGGCAAACACCACAGTTCAGCATAAGGTGGCGATGGAAGGGGAGGCTTTTGGTTCTTGGATGCTTGTCCAGCGTAACCAGCGAGGAAGAAAGAAGGTCGTGAATTCAGCTATGGATGCTGCAATCAAGGAGAAGGCTCATGAAGTGCATTCAATTCCGAGCAAAAAATCCGCACCTGGTGTAATTGCCAATAATGGGGGGGGGGGAAATCTGGTGCTGTCATGCAAGTTAATGCCAATTTAGGAGGAGTGAATACAGGTGCTGTTAAGAGGGAGATTTTATCAAAAAAACGGTCCCTAATTATGGCCAGCCAATTGGCTCACGTTTCGCAATCATTGCTGACGTTAACAAAGTTTCAAAAGATGATAACGTTGCAAGGATGTCTAATCATCAGGATTTTAATGCAATTAATTTGCAGAAATCAAGCAACATTCCTGATTTGAATCAGTTAACCATCATGGATACGTCAGCGCAAAATATTCCTCAGCCAGCTAAGCATATGGGTGATCTAATTAATAGTCTGACTAAGCCTTCGATTTGGGCCCAGGAAAAAGGAACCAAGAAGATCAACTCCTGCAGAATGGGAGCGTTAAAGTTTCTAGAAAAAATAAACAACAGATACCGAAGAAGACTGGGGCGGTGAAGGAATCTTTTGTTCTAAAGAAAAAACAAACGGGTCTTGCAGTATCTTCTAAGTCTTTCAAGCTTCCCTCTAAACCTCAATCTTTATCGAGGGAATCTAAGGAGAGAATTTTTTTGAGTTTGACTAAAGGTGATACAAACATGTTTCTCAATGATATAGCTCGTAACGTGAATCCTTCTCCAAGCTCGAATCTGGCTCTTAGTTCCATTTCCGGGAAACAGGAGAATGGTCAGCTTCTTGAGAGGGGCCAGCAAAATGGAAAAATCTTAATACCGGACGAAGAGTTTAAGGAGACTAATGAACCCCCTGATGCTTTGGTTAAATCGGTGTTAGGCAATCAGGCTCACAACAATTTGGTGGATTCAGATGGTGCTTCCATTTTGGGAGATTTAAGTGTGCAAACTGTTCCTCAATGATTGGTGTTCATACCATTCTTTCTTCTTCTCTGTATTTGTTTTTTATGAATATTGTTTCATGGAATTGTAGAGGGGCTGGAAAAAAGGGCTTTTCCCCCTAATAAAAGACCTCACAAGAAGATATCGTATTTGTATCTTAGTGCTTTTGGAAACCCGTATTGGTGGACTGCGTGCAAAGCAGGTGGCTAAAAGCCTAGGGTTCTCAAATTTTTTTATTTTTGACCCGATTGGTTTTTCAGGAGGCATATGGATTCTTTGGAATTCATCAGAAGTGAATATCCAAGTTCTGCATACTGATCATCAATTTATTCATTCAAAGATAAGCTGGCTTAATTATCATAAGCAGGAATTTTTCACCTTTGTTTATGCTAGTCCTCGGCGTCAAGAGCGTCATGCTCTATGGGATGCTTTGGAGAATATTCAGCCGCAAAATAATAATGAATGGTGCATTATGGGTGATTTTAATACTTACATTCACTCGGAGGAGAAGAGGGGCAGTTCAGTTCACAATTGGAGGAGCATGCAGGATTTTCAAGATTGTCTTATGTCTTGTCATCTTAGTGATCTGGGGCACCAAGGTCCGAGTTTTTCTTGGAGAAGAGGTAATCTTTTGGAGAGACTTGATCGTGCTTGTGTAAATCAAAGCTGGAACATGTCATTTCCGAACAGAGTTATCTCTCACCTTCCTTTTTATAACTCTGATCATCGTCCAATCCTTCTTTGGGATGGACAACCAAATTTTAGTAATGGAGGGGCTCGTCCTTTTCGTTTTCTAGCGGCTTGGTTGACTCATAATTCTTTCTCTGATCTAGTGAAGAGGTGCTGGGCAGGTGGTCACAATTGGAAAGCATCTAGTGAAAACTTTCGAGAGAAAGCCACATCCTGGCATAAGGATTGTTACAAGGAGGAGGAGAAGTTAAAAAATAATCTTCATTCTCGCCTCCGTGGAATTGATTATAGCTTAAGTCAACATCCTTGTCATTCTCTGGAGAGGCTGCAGAAAGAGATCTGGCAACAGTTAAATACTATTTATCTTAGAGAAGAGATTACATGGTACCAAAGATCTAGAACTGACTGGATTCGGTTTGGTGACCGTAATACTAAATTCTTTCATTCAGCAACAGTTGCCAGGCGTAGGAGGAATAGGATTGATGCCCTTCAAAATGATGTCGGGGATTGGATTGCTGACCCTTCTCTTCTCATGAGTATGGCAGTGGAATACTATGATAATTTATATAAGGAAGATATTCCTCTCCGGCCTAATTTTCCCATTAGGAACAAATTCCCAGAAATGGAAAGGAGAGTTATGATGGCTCTTGAGAGCTGCCCTAGTAGTCAAGAGATTAAAGGAGTAGTGTTCTCAATGGGGCCTTTTAAAGCGCCTGGTGTTGATGGTCTTCATAGCATATTTTTTCAAAGCCAATGGGATGTAGTGGAGAGCTCTGTTTGTAATTTCATTAAGGGAGTCTTCAATGATCCTAGTCGTATAGAAGAAGTGAATCAGACTCTTCTTTGCTTGATTCCTAAACTTTAGAATCCTCATACTTTCAAGGGTTTTCGTCCGATTAGCTTGTGTAATGTTATTTATAAAATGGTAACAAAAATTGTTGCTAACCGTTTAAAATTGCAGATGGACAAGCTGGTGATGCCTAATTAGTGCAGTTTTATCAGAGGTAGACAAGGTACGGATAATGTCATAATTGCTCAAGAGCTAATCCATTCAATGAGGAAAAAGAGAGGATCTAAAGGTTGGATGGCGATCAAGGTTGATCTTGAGAAAGCATACGATAGGATCAGTTGAAATTTCCTTCAGGATACCCTATATGATGTAGGGCTTCCTGAAAATTTGATAAGACTAATTATGTTGTGTGTTTCATCTTGCACTATGAATGTTCTTTGGAATGGGGCTTGTACTAAAGAATTTCGGCCAACTAGAGGCTTAAGACAAGGAGATCCTCTTTCTCCTTATCTTTTTGTCCTCTGCATGGAAAGACTAGCCCATCTCATTTCTCAGGCAGTGGATCACAGGAGGTGGAAGCCAGTGAGGATTAAAAGGGGAGCTCCACAAATTTCCCACTTATTTTTTGCTGACGATCTCCTTTTGTTTGCAGAAGCTTCTCAGGAGCAAGTGTTAATAATTCAACAGGCCTTACATATATTTTGTGATTCATCTGGTCAAAAAGTCAATCATAGTAAGACTAGAGTTTTCTTTTCTCAGAATGTGGGTCATACTTAAGCAAACTATCTTAGTGGGCTTCTTGGTTTTTCTTTGACTGCGGATCTTGGAAGATACTTGGGAATTCCTTTGCATCATAAGCGAGTGGGTCGGTCATCTTTCTCTTATGTTTTGGATCGAATGAATTCTAGAATTGCTGCTTGGAATCATGCCAGTCTATCTCTAGCAGGTCGTGTTACATTATCTAAAGCAGTGTTATTAGCAATCCCATCATATCCAATGCAGGTGTGTTCATTACCGCAAGTCACCTGTGAAGAGATTGATAGGAAGATTCGAAATTTTGTTTGGGGTTCATCTCCACACTCTAGACGTTCTCATCTTGTGGCCTGGAAGCAGATTTGCATGGATAAAAAAAATGGAGGCCTTGGACTGCGGAGTATGAGGGAAATGAACTCAGCATTTATCATGAAGGTTGGGTTCAACCTCGTAGCTCATCCAGATGCCTTGTGGTCAAAGTTCTTACGTGCTAAGTACAATGTGGAGGTAGGCATGACACCAATTATTCATGCTCCAAACAACAGCTCCCAGCTTTGGAAGGGAATTACGCGTCATTGGAATATTATAATGGATCATAGTCGGGTGCAGTTAGACAATGGTCAGTCCACTATGTTCTGGCTTGATAGCTGGCTGCCCGATTGTGGTCCTTTGATCTCATATGCAGGTTCTCAGTTTTCTATTAGTGATACTCTTCAGAAGGTGGTGGACTACGTGGATGAATTGGAGCAATGGAAATGGAATTCTCTTCGACAATTGCTTCCAGATTCTGTGCTGCATCGATTTATGAATTTTCTTCCTCCTTCTAGTCAAGATGGCCAGGATCATTTAATTTGGAATGGAACGACAGATGGCAAGTTTACTGTTAAGTCAGCATATGCAATATTAGCCATCAAAGATACTACAATCCAACAGTTTCCTTGGGAAAGTGTTTGGAGATGGCAGGGGCCAGAAAGAATTCGCTTTTTTCTTTGGTTAATGGCAGGGGAGAAGAGCAATACTGAGAATGGAACCAATAGATG